GCTAACACCTCTAAGAACTAACTACCCTCCTGTCCTGCAGACGCAAACACCGCTAAGAACTAACTACCCTCCTGTCCTGCAGACGCTAACATCTCTAAGGGTGACAACTTCCTGGAGAAAAGCAAACCAAGCACACATTAAACAAAAGCCAAAATCTTAGAGAGTAGCCAGCGCCTTTAGCTTAGGTTCTTCACATGATATTACATGGTGAGTCTGAAATACAGTGGAAAAGAACACAGCCAGAAGAGCTGAATCCAGCTGGTGACAGACAATGGGAGACTCAAAACAACACAGCTGGGAAGGGGGCAAGCAAGGGGAGCATGCACTGTAGCCTGACAGGAAGTGGGGTAAGGAGCGGCTTTCCAGGAGGGGGCAGAGGCAGAGTAAGACACACGGCTGTAAAGAAGATGTGTCGGACTGGAAGGAGTCACACAGTAACAGAGGGCAGAGGCCTGGGCACCTGACCCCCTGGGCTCACCCTGCACTTTCCTCTTATTAGAACTTCTGACAGTTCTCTTCCCACAGTAGCCCACCCCCACAGCTAGTGCACCCAAAAGTACCAGTGACACACTGTCCAGAATGGGCCTCTGGTCCCCTTTTCTAGGGCTCGCCAGGACCCAAACAACGCTTCTAATGTCCTAGATTCTAATGTCATTCTGAGATGGTATAAGGGGACTTACCAGGTCATCGACAGGAACTGCAGTATGCAGAAGAGTAAAGCCAGCCCCTTCTTCCGCCACTAGCAACAAACAACACACAGGAACTGTTATGATCAGGCAAGTCTTCCCTTTAAAATGGATAGCCCTATTTATTACACTTTATCCCTATATATCTAAGAACCTTAAACATCATCCATGAAAGCGCATTTCCTTTCCAATGCCGTCTCTGTTATCTTAAATGCTATGAGAGACACAGCATCAAGTGCAGAGGCTGGAAATAACTCTACCACAAACTGATGGAACCTTTGCGAAAACATTTAAAATCCCAAATAAAATTTACTTATACCTCCCTGCTCCCTCTCAAGATTTTTTTAGTTTTTGCTACACAGCCAAGGCTGACCTTGAACCTTCAGCAATCCTCCTGCCTCAGCCTCACCTGTACTGGGAACAAGGCATGCAGCACCACGACTGGCTTCCTGCGGTGTTTTTAAAGGACAAATGCACTACTGCAGTTTCCCGGAATAACTGAAGTCCCTACAATGCTCTCTGTAGCTGACTCGAGAACTCCTAGTCTTTGGGGGAAGAGGGTGGGCTGCTAAAGATCAAACCCAGGACCTGCCTCCAGCTGGGCATGTGCTCTGCCACTGAGCTATACATGCCTATGCCCTGCCCTTTAAAGGGGGGAGGGGACAGCAAGATGAATCAGGAGGTAAAGGCATTTGTTGCCAAGCCTGACAACCTGAGTTTAACCTCTGGCACCCACATTTTGGAGAGAGAAACTGACTCTTGCAACTTGTCCTCCAACTTCCGTCTGTGTGTTGTGGCATACCTACACACATACGGAACCCTTAGGTGGCCTCAAACTCAGGTCTGTCTGTTTCTGCCTCCCAGGTGTGACTATAGACATCACCAGCACACCCAGCCCTGATGGAGACACTTCTGTGTCTGGTCTGGCCTACAGAACTGCTGCTTCACCCCGAGGCTCGCAGATGACAGAGTCTGCAGCAGGCCAAGCTGAGGACACAGTCTGGCTGCTGTCAGAGCACGGGTGTTCGTTCTCACAGGGCCTACACATAAGTAAACCTCTGTGGGCTGGAGACAGTAGATCCACCTCACATCTAGCCAGCAGGATGTCTCTGGCCTTGTTTCAGGGACACCGACTCTCTGGAGGGATTTTAACACTAGACTCCAATATAGTCTAAGAGAATGGTGGAGTGGGGACTGCCGGCAAAAGCCAGCGCGGCTGACGTCACTTACCCACAGTGCAGCACACAGGGTGAACACGAAGCACAGCTACAAGGAAGGAAAGAGTTGGTGAGAAACCTGAGGTTCCGCAGAGCCAACAAAAATGCACAAACCCTCTGCATCTGTTTGCCTGGACATCGTATTAGAGGACAAATGAGATGGGGACTCTGCTGTCACCTTAAAGCCTGTCGCAGCAGTATCCCCTGCTCTGGCAAAGGGAAGCACTCTGGAGAGTAAAGTTTAGAGCAAAGAGGTTGTTCCTATGGCTCTTGCGTTGATGCCCACAACAGCACCAACAGCAGGGGATGGATACTGCTTCCTCACACAGAAGACTGCACACGCAACCTGCCATGTCACTAAGGCTATGGAGCACAGACGTGGGAGTCCACGTCAGGAAGGCCTGATGGGATCCCAGTCTGCTCCCGTCAGCTCAAAGGCCAGGGCTCGCTCAGGCAGCCTGTCTTGGGCTCAGCTTTCCTCTAACAAGATGGGGGGGAGGGGCATGTGCCCACTGCTGCAAGGGCGGCCGTTGGTCTGCACTAGGGCAGCGGGTTGTCTTCACCGTTACTGTGAGGCAGAACCTCAGCTCAGATTCAACACTCTCCCGGAAACAGCATGACTCAAGCTCCGCCAGGGTGGCCATGTAAACAGCCAGCATTCCCGAAGAGATGCTTCATGGTGCCAGCCTTCTAACAGTTACCAGGTGAACACACAAGTGTAAGGTGCACTACTAAGAAGGTTAATCATAAGTGAGAAGATCACCAATAAAGCATCCCTAAACACAGTACGAGAAAGACAAGCTTCCTGTAAGAAGAGTGAGGTATCTCCTAGTGGGGAGGTGAAGGTAAGTGTGTGCACACAAGCTGACACAGGTGAACTAGGAAACTCAATCTCCAGAGCCGTGAAGATGGAAATGAAACTGGAGTTGAACAAAGACACAGAAAATAAAAGTAAGCCAAACTGAGTTTGAGTTGAAAGAATGACAAACTACAGATAAACATTCTCTATCTAGAAACTTACAGAGGCTGCTTTTGTTTGAAAAGCTACTCTTAAAGGAGAGGAAAAGGGACAAGCTAGCGCTGGAACTTAATTTCTGTAAGCATCATAAATGTCTTAAGAATTCCACATCAGAACAAGTGGACAAGGAAGGAAAGATGAGAGCCTGGGTTCCCTGACCACTCTACACAAACACCACCAACTGGTAAACCGATGTGGGATTTCCCTCTATATGCTTGAATACCTTTGATAAAGGAACTGCTTTGGGCCTATAGCAGAGCTATAGGGGAACAGAGCTAGGTGGGGAAATTAATCCTGAGAGAAAGGAGGCAGAGTCAGGGGAAGCCATGGAGCTGCCACTGGTAGGCCACGACCTCGTGATGATACAAGATTAATGGAGATGGGATAAATTAAGATGTAAGAGTTAGCTAATAAGAAGCTAAAGCTAATGGGCCAAGCAACGATTTAATTAATACAATTTCTGTGTGATTATGTCGGTTCTGGTCGGCTGGGACGAACAAGCAGCCTCCTCCTACAGTACACCCCAAGACTCTCGCCATGAATGCAGTGTAAGCTTTCTGTTCGCCCCTAGACTCAAGCTAAAGTGAACACTAAGGACACTGAGCAACAGTCACGGTCAGTGCTACACCGTTACAACAGGCAAGTCAGCAAACAGGAAGAAAAAAGGCAGCAATTATAATTCCAATTCTTCCTGAGAAGACTCAATGGATTCTGAAGAACCCACCTTCTCTTCTTCCTCTAAAGAGCAGACATCCTACAGGTGTAGGGATTAAACAAGAAAACACAACCAGCCCTGACCCTCCTAACTTCTTCACCTACATAACACGCATGCAACAGGAAACAGCTGCCACCCAGCCAATCATATCAGATAATACTATGTAAGTCAAACTATAATCACACAGCCTCGAGAACACTTCTTAAGAGAAACACATGTACATGCATACGTACACACAAACACACACACACACACATGCACGTACTCACTCACAGCAACAATGCAGAAAATACTTCAGAAAGTTTATGAAATGAACATTATTTACTTACAAGCATGATAACTGTGGCAAGCAGTCTTGTTGTCTCGAACATTTTCTTCAGTTGCTTCAGAGGCCCCATCAGGAAGCACGTGCTGTTGGAGACAGTAAGAGAGGCTCTGGTCTGGCTGCGCAAACACAAACTGCCCTAAAATAAACTGTGTGAGCCTTTTTATTTCTTCCTTCCTTTTCTGTGGGTTTGCTGCTTTTGCTGCTGTTTAGGACAAGGACTAGGCTGGCCTTAAACACCTCACACTCTGACTCAGCCTCCTGTGCTGGGGACTTTCCATCCTAGCTTCATTTCTGTTGTTATTTGGAGACAGGGTCTTTCTCTGTAGCCCGAGCTGGCCATAAACTCACAATTCTCCTGCCTCAGCCTCCCTAGTGCTGGGTATTTACTTTCCTTTTGAGACAAGGTCTAGCTACATAGCCCAGGATGGCTGACTTGGGACTGTTCCGCTTTCCCCTCCAGGGTATGGGTGTTACATGTGTGTCCACATGTACGGTGTTCCCCTTAACTTTGAAAAGTCACATCACAACATGCAATGGCCTTGACATAATCTTGATATGACAGTGCAAGGGGTGAAGAGACCACAGATTGCCTCCCTCCTCATGTGGGTGGAAGCAAGGCCCTGAGGCGACCAGTCTTGGACTTTGCAGCCTGTGCAGAGATGAGACCCACATCTGCTTACATCTGTGGTCTTGTTAAAGCAGCACAGACGGACTGGACCATGACATTCCACTCATCCCAACACAGCAACGGTCTCAGGGAAGCCAGAGCCCCCCAAACAGCTCCTAGTCCCTACTGTCCACCACCTTGGGTTCTCTGCAACGCACCAACAGCTTCCTGTGTGAGCACTACACCCCAGCCCCTCCCTCTACAAGAGCCAGCACTGGAGGGTAGCTCTGGAGAACAACGTACGAGGGCTGCCCTCTGTGCTCCCCAGATGCACTACTGGCCACTTGGTATCCCTGGTACTCAGTTACCCAACAGCAGAATTACAGGATGAACAGAAATGTGGCTGTGGAATTGACATTTATAAACAAGGTAGGCGGGTCTCTGTGAGTTCGAGGCCCTTCTGTTTTATAGAACAAGTTCTAGGACAGCCAAGGCTACACAAAGAAACCCTGTCTGGGGGGAGGGTGTCAACAGAAACATGCTACTTACAAAGAACTTATTAGAAAGGAAATTTGGTACCAACCACAAACAAGGCACTTTGAGAAGCCAAAGCACACACACACCTGGCCAGTGCAGCAAGGTTTCCAAGCGTGTAAAACACTGCAAAGAGTTTTATGCCATTGGGAAGCCACAGCAAACCAGTTCCCTAAGGTAGAAATTACAGTTAGTTACTTACAATGTGATCTTAAAACTTGAAAGTGCTTCTACTGCAGTTGATACTAAGTACTATACAATCCATGCTTAAACACAGTGAGGCTGTGCGGTCTCGAGTCAGGGTAGATAAATGTGCCGGAGCAGAACTGTCTCTACACATGTCAGTAAATGGTCTGAAATGAACTATTCACTTGAATACCAAGCTAAAACAGGCTTAGTAAAACACATCCAAATTACTGAGTGTCTGGTTTTCAATACAAATTGGTATCATAAATACAATTTTAACATTTTCCTCAAATCACCAGAACATTAATTTCTGTGTATTTTTAATCAATCCCTACATGTTTATTTAAGGTCACTGTGTTCCATCAAAATAATCTAAGAAGCATTCAGTTAAAGCAGCCTATCTTTGTTGGTTCTAGATGAAATTATTCATTTAGCACAATAGAAGACCACAAAAACAACACAAAGCTTTAACTCACAAGGATTGAACAGACAATGCCAGCCACAAAGCATATGACAAACCACTTCAGTCTGGTGTTGAAACTGAGGGATGAGGCATCCAGGACCTGAGGAAAGAGGAGACAATGGAACGTTAGGTCGGCATGCAGGACTCTGATTTACACTATATACACCAAGCAAGCTTTTTTATTTCTGTTTTGTTTTGTTTTGTTTGAGACAGGATCTCTCTATGTAGCTCTGGTTTCCTGAAGTCTCTATAAGGGCCAGGCTGGCCTTGAATTCAGAGATCTGCCTGCCTCTGCCTCCTGGGTGCTGAGATTAAAGATGCATGCTACCATGCCTGGCAGCAAATTAATTTTGAACATGGACCTGACCCTGCGTTACTCTGAGTAATGCAGTCACTTCCATGTTCTAAGGGACACTAACCACAGGATGCTGGAAAACCTGGCAGGTAAAATCACGCACTGCTTGTCTCAAAGTCCTTCCCTGCTGGGGGCAGCACATGCATGCTCGCTCAGGCAGAACAACACAATGCAGAATATGCATCTTCAAGCTGGGCTATCCCAGATGATCAGCATGTTGGAAACTGCTGACAGGGATGCTCTCAGCAGAAACCATTAAGGAAAAGGGGAAAGCTGGAGGGGAACAAGGAAGGTGCCGAGCAAAGGTGTGTTCACCCAGAGCTGCGCTGCAATGATATCCACACTAAAGAGGGGGCTGGCTATTGGGGCCTTTGCCTCAGGTGATGCCGGACTGTGTGTAGGATAGGGGTACAGTAGAGGTAATTGTGGGCAACCTGCAGAGAAACAGGGCTGGAGACGCGAGGAAGGATCCTGGACAATAGCCGCACGGACCCACAACATGCGCACACTTGGCGACCCCCACTACAAACAGGCTCATTGAAAGCCAACTTCTGACAGCAAACGCTGACGCTGCACAGCTCCTGAACTTCTGAGGGCAAACGCTGCACAGCTCCTGAACTGACAGCAAACGCTGCACAGCTCCTGAACTT